CTTGCCTTATGGAGTAATAAATTTTGCTGCCCATATGAAGGCCAGAACTGCGATCCAAAGGAACAGCACAGAAAACATAATTTACCTGCTAAATACATTAACTAAACAAATGACTATTCAAATATGAGCTGTATAACTTTCATTAAGTTTGGCTTTCTTCCTCACGGAGGAAAGGATCGCACAGAATACCCAATGACTTCCCAGCAGTTTACATCCCAATCCGTCTGCATTATTCGTGACATATTAATCTGCTTAGCAGGAGCTTACTGCAGGAAAACTGTACGCGTTTTGCTGAGCTTGCAGGATGAAAGTTCCAGAGATAATAACCTGCAACTCCAAACTGCAGTTAGAGAAAAAAGTTTTAATTAACAGGGACAGCTCTGGCTCACAGTGAAAGCTGACCTGAGAACCCACACAGAGGGGTGCTGGGCAGGGGCCTCTGCTCCTCCCACAGCACACGGAGGTACCAGCACGGGTCAGCAGACACTGCTGACACCCAACACAGGAGGTTATGTTGATTTTCCATACGCCACAAATGGATGTTATGACGCGTTTCTGAGTTCTACCAACTTTGTCCACCACTGAAGCTCCACCTTCTGTCCCTTGTCACTGCCCAGGAATGCTCCTGCTGTTCCTTACATTCTCATAGGTTTGGTCTCACCTGCAGCCTGTGACCTTGAGGACACGGACCATGCCCAGCTCTGCACCACAATGAAACCTGCTTTTGCACCACCATCCATACTCTTGCCATCCGCAGCCCATGCAGGGCTGGTTGGGTCCCCACCACGCTCACCTTGTACAGGCAGTGTTTGGACTTCACCTCACCATCACTCAGTTCATCTCCTCCACTTTCCAAGTGACTCAGTGCCATAAATGCTGCTTTTTTCTCTCATCTTGCTGCTCTCTCTTCTAGAAACACTTTCTATATTTTACATTAGCAGTTCCCCAAGCTTATTTAGATCTTTAGCCTTTTTTTTCCAGCAGCAGTAACTTCTCACATGCCCATTCTCCCCTTCTGATCTCAGTATGGTTCTTGGCTCCCTCTTCCTCCAAAATCTCAAGCACAGGTCTGACCTCTGAACCCATCCTGGCCTGCATCCCCCAGCTTCTCCTCCCAGTGCCCCAGATCCCTCTATAAGCTCTACCCTAAGGTGCATAACCAGCATTTCCAGCAATCACACTTCCTTTATTGCACAGTTATTCTCTTTTCTAGGAGTTCCTACATAAATGTTCAAATTCTCCAACTTAACTGCACAAACATAAACTGGTTCCCAAACACCGTTCTACCACTGCTCGTTGCAAATAAATGCTCTCCCCCTTCCTTGCTCTCTTCTTTCTACACATCTTAAATTGTGCCACCAAGAAAATGAAACCTTTCATTGCCCATCAGTTCAAGTGTCATTCTTCTATCCTCCTTCGCAGTCGCGGATTCAGATTTTCTTAATTGCTCCCCATTTGTCTCACCATAATCAGTAATGCTGCACATCTGTGCTGTAATATGCTTGCGTGTATGTTCACAAATCGGATTACCAGAACGCAAAAGCTGCCATGCCAAAATGACAGCACAAATGCAATCAAAAAAACCTAATTCTCACAAGTACCCATGAAAATCGGTTACTTGAGTACGAGAATACAATGTGCCATCCGCACAGACATTCGTCTCCCTAAATACCTCGCTGCCTACAAACACCCAACCACATCTCTTCTGGTTTCCAGTGCACAGTAGCTGCCACAGTTCTCACTTGAGTATTTTTAGGCAGAATCAACTAATTAAATCTGCACTGTGCCCTCTCCCCTCAGCATCAATTGCTCCCAGCATTACCCTGGAGCTGTGACGTGGTGAACAAAAATATCCTCAATTAAATACCTGCAGAACTCAGGGCGGTCGCTTAGTCCACCTTCATAGTTTAAAATACATCTGTACTCTAAAAAAAGCTGTTTGTTTCAGGCAGGACTGCGTTACTTAACAGCAGATCTATGGCTCCTTGAGGTGGATTCACAGGATGTATCTGCACAGAGCACTCTGTCCAACCTTGCAGTGTCCAAATCCCAGGGAGGAAGGACACAGAAGTGAGGATACTAAAGGGAGGCGTAACAAGAAGCGTTGCAGAGAAGAAAAGCTGCCAATGCAAAAAAGGTACAGGGCTCCTGCAAGAAGTTAACTACGCCATGGCAAACGTGCATACTTATTTACTGATATTTCACAGGTTATTGAGCACACAGAAAGAATGCTGAAGAAAGGCCACCGCAAGTAAATGGAATTAATCATTCCCTGTTGGTGTTTACTTACTATTTGCTTTCACTTCCCCAAGGAAGATGGTGGGTGGTGTATTCTCCCTTTCAACAGGCCAGGTTTTTACACTTAAATGCGTGTTGTAGTTTTCTGCACTCGTTGTTTAAGTGTTTTGCAGCTCTCAGCTGCCCCACCATCCTGAGCTGAGCTCAGAGAAGCCCCCCAGCCACTCCAAACTGATCTCTCCTGTTATGCGAAGGGAAACCCTTCCCCTACAGTGACCCTCAGAGCAACAGAATCCCTCTCAGCCTAAAACAGTCCCTCTTGAGATGCTGCCAACAAAGCTCAGATTCCTATTTTAGGCACCAGACCACCTGGAAATTCTGGTTGGCCATACAGCTGGGGAAAGGGCCAGTCCACAAAGAGCAATCAGGCACTGGGGTCCCCAGCCCTGGGGTTGTTCCAGAGCCGTGGGGATGTGGGCACAGGGGGGTGGGCTTGGAGGGCTTCTCCAACCTCAGTGGTTCTAGGGTTCTGCGATTCTGCATTTAGGGTTATGCTGGAAAACAAAGATGCCTGGTTTGTTCCATGCTCCTGTAGTACAACCACCACAGTCACTTCAGGCAGTAGGGCAGGCTGTGCTGCGAAAGGTTCCTGTGTAACCACAACAACATTGTGAAACCAAGCTGGAATATTCAGAGGCAGCTATAGACTGTTAGCTACAGACTATTCATTCAATTTCCAGCTTGAGTCTATTCTCTCTACTCTTCCAACAGATGAGTCAATAGCACTCAGCCATTTTTTGGTAATTTTCTTGAAGAACGTCATCACAGCCACTGCTGACTTTGACATCCTGGCAAACCCACATGCTAGCACTATGCCAGGAGGCACAGCTGCTGGCACAAAGAAGCTGTCATCTTGCCCCATCTTCAGCCAGGAGGAAATCCAGGCTCGGGAGGAATCAAGTCCTCCAGGCTCCCCTCCTGGGCAGTGCCAGAGGGAACCCACCTTTGTGTGCAATGTATTTCACCCCAACGCGTGGGAATAACAACCCAGGCTGTTCAAAGCAGGGTATTGGGATAATCCTGCATTTCTGAGGGCTTCCATCAGCAGAGGGCTCTAGAACTACACTCCTTTAGGTATCGTATACCCTCCCATGATTAATCTGTCCCAGTTTTTTTTTAGTCAATTAACATGCTGTTCTTATGCTACAAATGTTCTCTAAAAAAATTCTCACAGCTGAGCTGTCAAACTCTGAAATTCAGTACATTGGAATGTCAGGTTTTTACAAACTCCAGGACTTTGTTAAAGTATAATCAGAACTTTAATACCCAATTATGCAACCTTAGCAATAACATTCTGAAGAGAATTTCATTACTTTGACCGTGATCTGGGAGCATCAACCAGACCTGTACCAAGTTGTTCCACTCAAAAATACACGGGCTTCATTCTTAATGGAGGGGTTCATCAGATTTCATCTAAAATTGCAGGTTTGAACATATCAACGCTGGAAGATTCAAGCATTTGGGCACATTTCAGCAACAATGAACGTCTTTGTTTTTCGCTTAGCTTCTCCCCTTGTTTTGTCTGGTGGTCACAGCTCAGTTGCTAACTGCTCACTTACAAAACACAAGGTCCTCTCTGCCTCAGCTCAGTTAGGTTAGCAGTGTTCTTTGAGGGCTAAGATATCATCCCTGAGCAGGCACAGGGAATGCGAGAAGTCCAAAGACATTTCTCATAGCCTGAAACAAGAGTTTAAGGAAAAAAACCAACACTGACGAAGCACTAAGCAAAATGTTGGCATCCACCCACCTCCCAAAGTAAGTCTTAGCTGTACAAGAAGCGATAGCCTTTTGACAGTAATTTATAAACAGGCACACAGCCCCCATTGTACAATCTGCTCCAGCGACAGTAAATCTAGAAAGGAGCAGAAACATGACCTAGAGGCAAGACGTTGTAAGATAAAGAGAAGCGAAACATGGAATTTGTCATCCCCAATTGAATTAGCAACACTAAGATATTTTAATAGGCATGCCTCCAACTATCAGAATCGTTTGGACAACCACAACCTGTGACAAAAAGCCCTCTGAAGCAGGTACTATGCTAACACCAATCAGAACTGAAACATCCCCAGATCAGACTGAACAACAGCTATGCCATGAAGTTCATACCACTACTTGTAGGCCTGTTAAAGCACACTCCTTTCCCACGTTCAGTCTCTATGTGGCTTACCTTCAAGTGACTCAGAAAGCAATGGAAAAGGGCTGCTGGACATGGATACCCACATAGAAAAAAAATCTCTACTAAGCATACACAGAACGATGCACCTCATAGACCTCAGTGTTGGTTGATCACCAAACACCACCACACATAAAGAAATTGAAGATCACACGTTCACTAATTTACTAAATGTACTCTTTAACTCAGAGGCGATTCTGCTAAGATCAATCAAGTACATTTGCACATTTTTTCACTGAATTCCATAATGCTAAAATAAAAAACATTCATCCCCTCAATAGCCTTAGAAAAAAAAAAAAAAGGCAAAATTCATCTTCTTGAGGCTCGGCTTCAAAGAAACAAAGCAATTTTCATAATAATCCAGGTATCTGTTCCTATCTATTGACTGGTAAGCAAAGTTATCTTTTAACTACTGCCACAAGACATAGGGGAACACCAACAGAGCTGGTATTGTTTGTGGGTTGAGTGGCTGTGCCCGCAAAGAACAGCATTTAAATGTAATTGCTGCAAGGTCTTTCAGTATACTCACTGTTTTCCAACTCTCAGCTGTACTGGTTATGACAGTTTCACACAGTGTTGTCATGCAAGAGAGGGACTTGCAGAAAGCTCTTCTGCAGCAGACATGGCACAAGCCAGCAAAAAATACTGAGGAGCACTTCCCAGGCTTCAGCTTCAGCGCCAGCTTCTCAGCCTCTCGAGAGGTTCACCGATGTGATGGCGTGTAACTGCAGGGAGAAAGCATGGAGCAAGAATATAAATCTGCTGAAATTGACAGGTGCTAGTTGTAAAAAAATGGTACATGGAGTTGAAAATGAGGACAGACAGTTGAAAAAGATCCAGACAGTGCCCATTATTTTAGTGCAAGAGAAAGTAAGAGAGTTTGGAGTGGGACATGAGAGCGTCTGGACACTTGTGAACAATCAGCAGCAGTCAAGATGATTAGAGAGAGGAGAGGCAGGAACCGCTAATGGCAGTAGGGAGCAGGAACAGAAGCTGAGCGTGTGGCTGAGGGAAAGGATTGAGTCAACACAGCAGAAAGAGCAAATTGTAAATTGCAAAGGGATGCAGTGATGGCTTCGCTGACAAACCACGGCGCTTTGAACTCATAGCAAGTGCCACGGACCTTTCTGTCTCTATAGAGGTGATTACAGTTTTGCTGGGTCAAGTGACATATGGATCAGGACTGCCCACAGTACAGTGCTGTAAGTGCCACTGAACCGCATCAGAAACTGAACATGAACATCTGAATCTCAGCCTGAATGAGGGAAAAAAACATTTGGAACAGCTTGGAATGCATCCCATTTCTCCCTCCCACCAAGGAAAACAGATGGTATCAGAAAGATGAACAACATCCTAACAATCTCTATGCTCCTGTTCCTAAAGAATAAAAACAGAGAGGCTGAGGAGCCCAGGATGGGAAGCAGCAGTGCTGGTGCACTGTGACCCCCTGCTCTGGATTAAAACCACATCTTTAATTTCTTACCCAAACTCTTCTTCCCAAACTCCAGTCAGCAGGTTTCTCCCTTCTAGCAAATCCTACTAAAGCATTCTGCAAAATACAAATAACCTTTTCTAAGATTCAGACTACTGTTAATAACTGTAACTATAACTTAAAAATTATTCAAAGGCTGTTTATGCCAACTCATTCTTTTGCCAAGATGCTCTTTGTAGGTATGAACTTGTTAGAATAGACACAGGACATTCAGAAGAAGCAACAGAAGCTGATAAAGACATTGAAAACATTCATCCCTGTGGCATCTTTTCTCGATATCTGTCTATCTGAGGTATAAATTCAATATTCTAAAACACAGTTATTCACACAATTTTTCTTTTGCCTTAATAAAAACATAAATACAGCTATAAAGAAAGCGATGCACGAAATGGCTTCTCTATCACCAAAATGCAGTTGTATATCTCATAGGAGCAGTGTGGTCTAGTGGGAGGTGTCCCTGTCTATAGCAGGGGGCTGGAACTGGATGATCTCAGCCCAGACAATTCTATGATTCTGTGATCCGAGGGCTCACCTGGCCTAGGACATGTGCTTATGGTGTCCTGTAGAATACTAAATATACACACAATATTCCTAAGTGTGCCTGTTGCCTGTTCAATGCCAGAAAACTCCCCATATTTAACATCTATAAAATTCAGTCCCTCCTTACATTCTGCAATTCCCTGCTTTGTTATGCACGACTTCCAGCCTGCTCACTGACTGTGTAAGATGGCAGCATTTTGGAATTCAGACTGTTAGCTACTGGCAGCTGCCAAAATCCAGCCAGAGCTGCTTTTAATTTAAAACTTCTTCGATGTTAAAAATCTGAACACATAAAATATTCTCGTTAAGAAGGTTGATATTCTACAGTTTAAGAAGTTTCATTAAGAACATATGAGGCTGAGATCTGTGCCTCCTCAACATACTCAATAACATCCTCAGCACCAAATTACTTCATCTTCCCTGAATGTACTCAGATGTACTTCTGCTCTGTTCTCAGCATAGCCATTTATGTTTATCAGTTGAGAGATGTTTTGATGACAGCTATTAAGTTAGCCCTGTTTAAATAACCTGAAAAGTTGTCAGAATCTTCTAATTAAAGTCCTGCTCCCTTTTGCTCAAAGTAATCTCTAACACACTTAATCCATTTGTTTCACTCTTATCAAATCAGACACAGATCACTAACTAGTTCTGTTTCCAGGCTGAAACCAAGTCCTGCGACGAAGCAGGGGACCAATGATAACAGCAAGTCTCTCTTATTCTCTCTCTCTCATATATTGATCACATCCAGCTCTCAGCATTCAGTGCATCAAAGCACCAGCTCCAATTAAGTCCCGTAGGTTACTTCAAATTGGCATGCATAAATGAAAGAGCAAGTATAACTGCGTTCAGTAAATTCTACCAAAGAGACGTTTCTGTTCATACACTGGGCTGATTTCTTTATCGTAAAATATTAGAAGGTCTTTTTTTAGCTAGAGATATCTATAAAACTAACAGAAGTGACAGGAGAGTGCTTGCACCTGTGACTTCAATCTGTGATAAAAATGGAGACAAGGAAATGGCGGCGTCCCTCGCCCCGCGTCCCCATGCTCAAACGCTGCAGAAAGCAGCGCACCTGCCCTGCCCCTCGTGGGACACTGAGCTCTCACACAAATGGAGCCAGTCAAAAACCATGGAGCTCTGTCCCTGTCCCAAAAGCATTGCAATCTCATTTCGTGGCACAAGCAAGCAAAGAGACAAAACCCAAATAGCAGGGCTGGGGACACGAGGTTACACACGGGTACGCCTTCTTCCATTAGCTGAAGTCTACAGCCCAGTCTCTATCCACTTAGATAGATATTATCACTTAGTAATTTTAACCAGAAAAGTACCATGTGATTTACTATTTACTGTATTACTGAAAGGGGTTTTATGGAAACAGGATGTTATGAAAACAGTCTTATAGCCCAACACGTAGATCACGTTCTGCGTACCACAGGTGACTCTACATCAGTGAAGGCCAGGGAATGCCCTGAAGGAGATCTTCTGTGCACGCACACGTCAGAGAGGTCTGCAGAGCTTGAACGCTCCCCGGGACCAGGCTGCAAGGTGCTGACCTCACCTTTTGTGAACATTCATTTCTTACACACCAAACCACAACAACGCGATTTCATTTTGTCACTTTCTATGACAGAAAAAAGATATTCTTTAGCAGACAAAGAACCTGCCTTCTAGATCTAGAAGATGATTATCACAGATGTCAGTCCAATGGAAAAGGAAGCCCGTGCTGCTTTAGAACAAGCTGTTGCTTGAAATTTTCTCCAGTTACATTTTTCCTGTCAGGGAATTTTCCTAAAAAGAACCATCAGCTTACAGATGCATCTGAAATTCAGAAGCTTGTTGAGAGATCTTCTGAAACATGGTGTAAGGAATGTGCTATGGCTCCCAAATTTCTCATGAAGAAAACAATTCCCAGTATTGGAGCCATTCTTTGAGCCTTATGGGCCCCCTCCAACTTGGGACACTCTATTATTTTAACCATTCTACACACGTTGACAGCAGCTAAATTTGAACCTACAGTGCTGGGATCTTCTAAGCCTGCTGCATTTCTTCCCAAGCGGCCCATCCGCATGCAAAGTGTTACGAGTGGAGCTGAATCTAGAAGGAATGCACCAGTCTGGCACCGAGTGTCACCCCAGAAGTTCACGATGTTAAACAAAGATAACAGAGGAGGCAAACAGAGGATGTTCACTTCCTCCTCTCCTCCACTCCCAAAACATTCCATCAGTCAATAAAACATTTAAATCAGCCAAACTCCTCCACCTAAGTGTACAGTATTGCCCTTTCCAAACAGAAATGTCAGACTCCGCAATGACTAAAGATGACTCACAACCAAAATCTCAGCTCTTAACACTCAGATGAAATCAAGGTTTGGATTTTGCAAGTAAACATTTCCCCTCAGAAGTACATAAACACATACTTTTGACTGTACTTCACTGTAAATCACGGGGGTCCAACCTGTTGGCTCACCTGGGCCGCGTTCAGTGAAGTGGAATTGTGTTGGGCTGCATATAAAGTGCATTATATTGTTTACATACAGAAGTGACAGGCAAATTCCCGGTGTAAAGACGCACAGAAACTCCCTTGTCTTCAAAGAAACACGAGAGACAAGCTGCACAAAACCCAAGTGTTTCTTTCATAAGGAAAGAGTCAAAGACAAAGCTGCCCACCACTGCTTTCTGGTTAAACACGATTGATCTTTTACTGCTATGATAGAACAAAAAGCAAGTCTGAAATTAATTCCAGCACTGGTGTTAAGGATGCTCAGCACATTACAGGAAATGTTGGCGTTCAGGTATCTGCATTCCCATACAGAACAAAAGTAATGCATATGACATTGTGCTCAAAAAATTCAGAGATAGCATTAATTAACATCTCTGATGCCATTAATCTTCACAGTCAGCACGCAGAACATTAGATTTATTCCCATTCAAAACCTCTTGTTCGACTTCGTGAAGACATTGTGCGAGGCCACTGCTGCAAAATGGATTTCCAAAGTTCCAACTTGAGAACCAAATCCTTGTATGAAAATGCCTTCAGCACATTCCATGTGACTTCCTGCTGTATCCACCGTAACGGTGCGCCTTATCATTATCAGTCATGTAGAAAAATGAAATACTCAGTGAACTAATTAGAGGAGCAGCTGTTTTCAACACCCATGTGTTAGACTGCGATAACATTTCTAGAGGACTGAAAATAGCTGCTCCTCCATTCACTCACAAGGTCTCCAATATTTCCTGATGCAAACCGCCGAGATGTTTCATTGCAACACAAACAGAAGAAATCTGGACCAAGGAAATGAGGCACGTGGTATTGATTTGTAGTGGATTAAAGTTAAAATAAAGTGAAACAAAGACAATATTTTGACTTTCGTGTACATAAACATCCATATGTTGCGTCAAATAATCTCAAATGACAGCAAATGTTATTTTGAACTTTCAGTGACAAGAAATCAAGTAATTGAAGCAGAAATTAAAGCATCTCAAAGCTTTTTTTTTTAATTAAATTCTGACATTTTGTGAATCATTTAGGTGAAATGCTCGCACTTGAGAATTCGCTGCTCAACTGCAAGTTTTGACAGCTCCAGGAATTTTCTCAAAAGCGTGCGTGTAACTCTGCTCCCCTGGTGAGGAGGGATGGAAGCACTGCCAGCAGCTCGAGTGGCTCTGATTAATTCACTCTCACGTGGTGGAAATGCTCTCCCTAATGCTTCAGGAGATGGAGTTGGGGCACGTTGATCTAAAGGCAGAGCACTGACATCAGTTTTTCCAGAAACACACACGAGTATTTTTAAACAGTCCCGACTGACAGCCTTCATAACCCTGAGCATCTGCACATTAATTCCTGCGATGACAAATCCTTCTCCTAGCAAGACTCTCCCGTGTCTCTACGACAGCAAAATGAAGCAGCTGGAACCTACCAGATCTCCTTAGCAGAACTGAGAAACTCAGCACGACGTACCCAAGGATGAGGTCCTCTGCCCTTACTGCTTAATTTGTTACTTCACTATGGGGACGAACAACGCAAATGGTTTGGTGATAATGGCACGTTCACTATGGATTTCCCCAACAGTGATTACCCAGACTGCTAGCAGTGCTAAAAGCCACTGCTGAAACACAATTCCAAATACTCCAGCTTTGAGAAAAGCAACGAATACCAACTTTCCAGCTCTCCAGCACAGATAGTACAGTTCTGTGATGTTGGCCTCTTCATGTGTCGCACGAGATGCAGGCAGTGCTCCTTGGAGAGAGTGGCTTGTGCAGAAAACATCCCAAAATCACCTAGCCAGATAATGCCATTATTTAAAAGGCATTACTAATATCATGGAGACAGATAATCTACATGAATCCACATGAGAGATATAATTGGAATCCCTGACCAGTCGCCTACAACTTAAATAACACAGATCTATTTTCTAAAGGAACACTGCCCTGTGTTTTTGGATGCTCAGAGAAGTGACAGTTAGATACAGTGAATGGAGAGGACTGCCTTAAAAAATGGCATCAACTCTGCAATACCTTTAGAACATCTTTCAAGCAGATAGAAGCCATCTGATTTAAATTACCACTGGCACCTTTTGCAAAAAATCTCTTATTCCTCAGCAGTTTCATGCCTCCTCATTATAGGTTTCTTTCCTGTGCATTTTTAACCCAGGAAAGTTAAATTTGTAGCCAAACTGAAAAGAGAGAAAAGCTGACAGGCATCGGAGCCAGTGAACAGATGTGGTTGGAGGGACCTCTGGTCCAAATCCCTGCCAAGGCCGTGCCCTGTTGTTTGAGCAGCTCCAAAAAGAAACTTTACAGCCTAGAGCCTCACAGTAGAAGTGCTTTCCTATGTTCAGGTGAAATTCCACTTGTTTCCATTGGTGGCTACACAATGAGAGCGACCGAGCTCTCAGCTGGCCTAAATTGACATTGCTATATTTGTTTTTTGGGAATCTAGTTCTCTTCAGATAATGGCTCCACAATTTAACTGTAGGAGGATAACCAATAGAAGCATGGCAGGAGCAAACCAAAACACATCCTCAATAAGGCTTATACTATTCAAGCAGCATTATCAAAGCTGAGTAAGAGCTAGTTGAAGATCTCAAGTGTCAGTCCCCATTCCACATAACTATAACACAAGATTTTGTAGTAGGGAACCCTAATGGCTCAGAGACAGCTATTTTGTAGCTTACAATATATTTTTTCCCATTTGTCTTTTCCAAGTTTTAAATGAGTTAATTGAAATCAAGCAAAATATATTCTGCAACCATACAGAAAGTAAACATGGATATGTATTAAACATTTAATAGACTGTAATGTGATGAAAAGCACAGCATGGCAGCACAGTAGCAAAGTCCTGGGTTGCAGCGAGTGCTCAAATGCAGCAGCTGTGGACGCAGAAACAAAAGAAAGAATCCACTTACCCTTGAAAGGCCTCAGGTATGCAGGGATCTCCAGTGAGACCCCCCCACCTCCACTGCCAACCCTTGAATGAGGGCTGGGAAGGGATGGCTCTGGCTCCAGACCTTCCAGTCATTCAGGTGCATTGCATTGCACTGCATTGCATTACATTGCATGCACCTGAGCCTGGGCTGGTCTGCCTTCCCACCAGGTGCTCTATCACTGCTTTAAGTCCTGACTTAGCATTTCAGCTACATATGCTATTGCAATTTGGCTTTGTTTTCAATTACAGTATATATATAGTACATAGCATATATTTCTAACAAACTGTGTACATCATGTAATCATTTCTATCAAAACTCCTAGAAGCTAGAGCAACTTTGCAGATGTACTGATACCACAATAGCATTTGGATAAAGCATGACTCAGTAGAGACCTTTATTCTGCCCCAGAGCAAAGTATTTGTTTGGAACAGCTTTGAACTTTTTGCAAACAATCACCTTTTTCACTGATACAATCCCAGCATATATAATATAGAGGTTGTTCCAATAGAGCTGCTTGTTGCTCACTCTTCCTTTTGTACTTATTCACTTCTATTTGAGTGCCTGCCTTGCAAACAATCTCTTTTCCTTCTGTTCAAAATGCCATTAGCAACAAAATACAGCAAACCCTTTGGAAACATCGATATTGCTATCATTGTTTGCTTTTATTTTAATTAATTGCAATATAACCTTTTCAAGTGGATTTACAGCTTATTAAATGAGACAAAACCTTCAATTCCAAGATGGAAACAATTCACTGATAGGTAAGATTGCACTGACATTTTGCAGCTGCTCCAGTACACTTCTGACTGTAAGACTCTTGAATTTCTGTCTCGTGAAGGGAGCAAATCCCAACCCCCGAGCCCTCAGATGGCTGTGGAGCTGGGAGCTGCCTTCAGCTGCTCTCGTGTACATCTGTACCAGCACCATTTGTTTCAGCAGATTTCAGCTGAAATAACTAAAAGCAACACTTGTTTTAAAATGAATGGGGGAGTGTCAAAGAACTTGCAATTTAGCTCTCTCCACACTGTATTGTCAGTTAATCCATTCAAATGATTCTTTTCCCCCTTTTTGTTCAGGCACTGGGATGAAAATCTAGTGCCTGCTGCTTGGCACCCTTTCAGAATCAGTCCATGCATGTGCATCCATTAAACAACTCTGATTACAAGAACATTAATATTTATCAAGGAGAAGAAACCAAGCATCTACTTACTTGTCACTCGTCGCTGCAGACTTCTAGGTGGTGACCATTTTGATTCACATCAGTTTTTCACGTTGCGGGTTCCTTAAATGGGAAAAGAAAGAGTGAACTTTAATTAAGTATGGTCAACGAGGGCCCAGTGTAAAGCAAGTAGGTCAGCGCTTCCTTTGAGAGCACTGCTTTGAATGAAGTCATTACAGCAGTGCTTATGCTCCAAGCTGCCTATCTTTTAATTTACACTTTCTACACTTAATACAAGCCCAGCTTAAGCAGTTCACTTCAAAATGCATGAAGTGAAATGAAAGTGACTGAAAAATGAAAGGAAGAAGGGCAAAGTCGTGCCTCCAATGTGGGAGCTTCCAGCTGCCCATCAGCTAACACTGCCACAGCCCTTCTATGAAATCAAATTTATCCTTACACAAGGCCTGCTCTGATATCTTGAAACTTACCATGGGTCACAATGAATAGAAGTTATTACAATAGATATTTGACCCTGAAAGGTAAATTGTATTGACATCCTTCTAGTAATGCAAGAGAAATAGAAAAATAACAGAAAACCACTATAAACAAATGAGCCTAGAAGACAATTCAGAACAAAACTGCCTGTCTCAGGAAGGGGACCAGGAGGCATTCTGCATCTTACGCAAAGCTCTCCAGAATTAACTTTCAGGAACCCCAAATAGACTTTTCATTACTATTTAATACCAGAGCCAGCAGGATACAAAAGAATTGCCAAACTCTGTGTCACTCCTCCTCACTCCACGCTGTAAGCAGATCAGAAGCTCAAGGAAAAACAAAATCTCTCTTACCCCAGGTCCACCTTGAGCTCAATAGAGTTTGGAAAAGCCCTTTAAGATCCCCAAGGCCAACCCAACCCACAGCACCGTGCCCACTGACCACATCCCTCAGTGCCACTTCCATACTTTTCTGATGCTGAAGAAAGAGGAAAGAAGCACAGCCGTGCTGCTCAGCTGAACAAATGATGGGCAAGAATTAAAAACACACTGGGCTGGCTCAGTCATGAAGGAGGAACCACAAGTTTGTCATACAAACCTGTTCTTACAAGATATTCCTTCTCCAAGTTGTGAAAGTGTTTTGATAAACTAAAGAAGATTCAACTGAAACTTCCTATCAAAATAACTTTTCTCTTAAACCTTCTATATCCCCTAACAAACTCAAAGGCAAACATTTGGATTATATCAGAATGAAACGGCTCAACTGACCATTTCTCAAAGGTCCACTTCTCACTCAAAGAATCCAGTGATTCTGGAAGCAATTCCACAGTCTTTGTTCCAAAGAAAATTTCCTCCAGAACTGAAATTCCCCATTTGCCCAGCTGCAGTTTCCAGGCAACCAAACCTCCAGGCAGGAGGATGCCAGAGGCAGGCTGTGGCTCCAGCACAGCTCCCCAGAGAGTTGCAGGGTGCTCAGCACACAGCTTGGAGAAAAAAGGATGCATGTGGGAAAGAGAAGGTGCCCTAAGCAGGCACAAACCAAGTCCAGACAACCTGATACTGAAAATGCAGATGGATTTTCTCTAATGAGAAAAATACAGAAACCTCCCCATGAATGGAGCTACTCACTAAATAATGAAGCCTGTTCATTTACAGACTAGCACAATTTAATCTCAACCCTTGGCAGCTGCATGGCACACAGATAGCCAGTACCAGCCACCCACATCCACAGCTAGGCGTGATCCAGGACAAGAAGATATCTCAGAGGGGAAGAAAAGGACACATCAGAAATGTTCTCATTCAGTATTTTTAGAATAAAGACATTAAGGAAAGTACCAATATCTAAAAGCCTTGTATTAAGGACATTCTACTACAGAACACTGTTGCTTTGTACAGCACCCCTAGGGGAAAACTGTCTTCTAAAAGGCTTTTAAACAATATTTATAGGCCCAGTAACAATAATACTTGCAAGCCTTTGAAAACCAGCCTATTGCTCTTGGCTAGCCTCCTTCGTTATTTCCCCATTGTGTGCAGCACAATGGCCTTCTATCAGGTCCCCTGCAAAAAAACTGTTTAAAAATAAGCTGGAAAATCATATACTTTGAAGACAAGAAATGCCTGAAATAGTTGGCCTTACCACCTTAATTTCACTTGTTTTCCATGCATATAAAATGATCAGTCTCTAATTGTATGATATTGCTCTCTCTGAAGCAGAAGCCCTGTGACAACCAGAGCAATGTGTAAGGAAGCATGCTGGAGCTACCAAGTGTGCAGGAGCTCCACAGGCCACGCAGTCATTAATTGCTTTCCATGAGCACGGCAAGAAAATTGCTCATTTCAGAGTCACTGCCAAAGTTCCACATTCTGTACAAGATTGCCAAAGCGTCAGAATGTTCCAAACTATCATAGTAATGTTCAGCCACAGAATCATCGAATCACCATGGTTGGAGAAGACCTCAGAAATCACGCAGTCCAGCTGCCCACAGCCCACCAGTATTTCCCCACTAGGAATCACTGAGCTCTGAGATCACCAAGTCCAACCACCAGCCCAGCGCCATTTACCATAGGCAAGCGACTTTTCATTGACCTTCAGATGTTGCCCTGATAGTTATGAAACAAATTAAAAGACAAAAAAAAAAAACTACAAATAAGTATCAGGTAAGTGCCTGCCTAGCCCACATCTCCAGCTAGCACTGCACAGCTAACCTGGGAACCTCTAGCATCCTTCCTTACACGTACTGATGCTGTTCTGCCTATCAGCCAGAGAGCAACAGGTCTACCCACGGAAATTCAGTCTCCAAAAAAGCAAACACGCTGTACACAGCTAATGAACAAAGTCATTCTCTTTTAAATTTTACTTTTCATTACATTTTAATAAAGAAAAGGATTAAGCAGGAAACAAGAAACAGTAAGAGTCTAATACGTGTATTTGCTGAAGTGGTACAGTGAGATGAACGACTGAGAACTCGTTCCTGTGAGTGGCAACGATACTTCAGCAGGTATCTGTACCCTCATCTGTACCTGAGACACACAGGATTCCTTCCCACACACAGCTCCCATTGCTCCTGCCCAGCAGAGCCTGCTTCTGGCTGACACCTCACCGCCTTTCATTCAAAACCTTCAGGAAGAGCTGAGGGATCCTCTGGAAATCATAAACGTAAATGTGGAGAAAATCATCCCAGTGTTCTCTTCCCCTCTTCAGAACGCACCGTTCCTGGAGGCAGGTTCCACCTGGGAGCACGGTGCCCAGCAATCAGGTTCTCACGAAAACAGGTACCTCCTACAGCAAGCTGCTCCAAAGGGCCGCTTAAAGCCATTCTGTCTCCAGAATGAACTGTTTGCTTTCTAATGCCTCGCATTGATTTACAGCCCTTAGAATGAAAAGTGAACCAGGCTGTGAGACGTATTTCCCTGTGACGCTGCACCCTTCCCAGTCAGGATGTAAGGGCAGCTTGTTCACACACCGCTGCTGCAAGCACAACGGTTTCCAATGCACAGACAACTTGTTTTGTACCATAAAAACGTCTCTTATGGATTAAGTGATAAATATAGATGGTTACCACTGGAGAGCATCATAAATTGGATCAGCTTTGTCAATGTGGCAGGGCCTCATTCTTACACACTCAACTACTTACAACATGTAAGTGGATTACTAATGATCATGAAAGACTTCTATCCATTGCTGGATACAGTTTGTTCACAACTTGCAAATCCCAGAGCAGTGGCACAAAGCAGGGGAAGCTGACAGAGCTGCCCTCGTTCTTATCAACACACTGCACTGGTTACAGGCAGCGCACTCGCAGAAAGCCATTTGTCTTACATTGCAGAAAGTAAGAAAGTTTGAATAGGGCTTTAGGAAGCAGCAAAGCCCTTTTTCATTCTTTCACTGCTGTTTTAGGAACAGAACTTTCCCAAGGACAGCCAAGCTCATTAGAGAACGGCACTTCCTGTAAGCACCAGCAATGAATGCTCTATTTTAGGTATTGCGACTTTTCAACGGGCGACAGAGCATTGTGTGTGATGTCATGCAATGGGGATGGAAAACCAGCACAGCGCTGCGAGCCTCTGCCTTCCTAGTAACCAAATACAAGCTGTTGGGAAGTCATTATCAAAATTAATGTGTCACACTTTCAGATATCAAAATGTGAGGAACTGAAGCAGAGCATCTCAGACGATCATAGAAACAACACAGCATGAAGCACTACCAAACTCTGCAATCTGGTGTACAAGAGAAAATATTTGTTTAATATACCATCTAATATAATTTAAAAATAAAAAATAAAAATAACAATACATCTATAAGGAAGAGCCTAATGAGGATTTAAACCTCAGAGAAAAATCTAGCTTAGCCCTTAAAAGCAGAAGCTGCTGCCTTCTGTTAGCAGAAAGTTCACCTGCAGTGTTTTACACAATGAGTTTGGAAATTAAGTACATCACACACAGAATGGAATTTATCTGAAAACAATCGAGGAACTGCAGTTGAGCAGAACCAATCCTTTTCTTTCAGATGAACAGTTTTCATTGTCACATGAAAAAAAGAAAAAGAGAAGTCTTAAAATAGCCGTTCTTTTCTAAGGTTTCAAGTAGAAGCTGCTAAACAAAATAAAACTGTAAATTGAGCAAATGAAACCATGCTCCTCGTTTTGTCCCACTCTTCACTGGGTTAAGATTCAGAAAATAAGTATCGAGGCTCAGCGGTAGCAAAGCCTGCTCAGCTATGGAAACATACTTCCTGTTGAATGTCCTGCTGGTCAACAGAAGCTTTTTCTGCAGTAGGGATGCTTATACAGTCACTCTGCTTTGAGGTCCTCTCCTGTATTTCTCTACTTTGCAACTCTTGTCTTTAGTGGCACGGTGAGGCCACTGAAGAGCTTTCTTTCCTTCTGTCCCCACATGTGATCCCAAGGTCCCAGCAGAGAGCTTGGGGGCTCCAGGCCCTTCTGACCACTTGGCCTTACCTGGAGGCACTGAAATGCCTGCCAACAGCTGGCTGAGCTGGAACCTCCTGGGAGCCTGCAGAGCAGTCAGCCCACAACTGGAGTGGATCGCAGGAACCTCCAGCACAATCTCATCTTCCTGAGGCTAATTCATGGCAGTTAGCAGTGGGAAATCAGAATCACCCTAAGTAAT